GCACAGGGAAGGTTATTGCTCTGGTAGCAAAAATAACAGGAAAGCTGCGGGAGAAAATTATGAGGATATTTAGGAGAAATGGGAAAGAGGTTCAAAAGGTGCTTTCTGCTAAACCACAACTTTAATCCAATACCTACACTGTATGTTTTTCATAAAAGTATGCTCCTATCATCTGAATAATTGGGAATCAACAAAACTTTTTAAAATATTTAAGTGATTCAAACAGATCTAATTGTTTTCTGAACCTTTTGTTCAGAGATTACCAGCTTTTGTTGTAGTGACAGATTATTATTTTCCCCTATTTTCTCATTCTGGATCAATGAAGAAAAATCATTTTCTGAGCCTTTCCATCATGGATATCCACCTGATGAGTTCCAAAATGCCATCCGTTCCCTCTGGAGGTGAGAAAAAAATAAACAGCTTAGAAAATACAGGTGAACCTCCAAATTATTCTTGAGGATGTGATTTTTTAATTTTTTTTTAAACTAGAGTAGATTTACCTTATTTTTGTCTTATTAAAACAAATTTGAGGGCTGGGGTTTTAGCTCAGTGGTAGAGCATTTGCCTAGCTGGAATGCATGAGGTCCTGTGTTCAATCCCCCACACATACACAAATAATTTGATATAAAATGATAATGTGGAAAAAAAGAGAGGTTGGAGACTAATTATATGACAGTCATGGCAAAATAAACAGAGTGAAAAGCCCTTCTGGTAAGTGTTTAAGAAAAAGACCTTATACAACAACACACTAATCCACTCTAATATTAGAATTTTTCTCTGTTTTCAACCAAAAGACACATCATACACCCAGTTCAAAAAAGACAAACAGTGCTGCATGAATCAGGACAGTGTCTGTCCTTGTCTCCCTCTCCTTTTCTTCCTCTGTATCACAGTGGCCATTAAGATACTAGCCACAGTAACAATCTTAAAACTGGAAATATCTTACTTGGCCTACCAGAGAACTGTAATTTCCACTCAACACAAAGTTTGCTGTTCTTCACCTGAGTCAGACTTTGAATCTATTTTGAGGTTGAAAAACAAACAAACAAAAAAACCTGACTTTAAAAATGTCTAAAGATTAAAAAAAGAGAGAGAGAATGAAAATGTTAAAAGGAGGAAAGAGGGAGTCAGATATGGRGGGGAAAGTATAATTGATAATGAAGCTGGCTGTCTGGGTGTCACAAGCGATAACAGTAAAGGTAAATGTGGCCAGGCTGTCAAGAAGTACTGATCTCTTAGGCATAATATCATTCATCAACCAGAGACTTCAAAATTGATGGGCGTGGTACCCACTAAATGGAACTCTTCATTTTCTCCCCTCAGTTTTCTTGAAGCTTAATCAGCTTCCAAACCTCCCTGACTACTCATCTGAAATTTTACCTTCAGGGCTTATAGTTAGTTTTGATCCTCCCACTCTTTACCAGTGTGAATTTCTTGCAACTTCCTCCTAACCAGAACTGTACAGCAGTTGTGTTTCCCTTTGGGGGACCAACCAGGACTCCTKGCCTGACACCTCTATCCTGGAACACAACTCCAAGCTCTGTGAACAACTTAAAACATCTCTCTCTAGCAGAAAAGAACGCCTTATTAAAAAATCTATACCTACTTCTTGCCTCAGGAAAAAATGTTTTGCCCTCATACTTGCTTAAGTAGCTTTCTATGGCAAATATGGAAAGTGATTATCATTGAATTATATACAACCCACTTATATTATGACAAATACTAGCTCAAATGCAGATTGACCCTTACAAATTTTTTTCTTTTTAAATTTTTATATAGGATCTAAGATGCTGATGCTGGCCTTGAACTTGTGATCCTCCTGCCTCAGTCACCTGAGTCCTGGGATTACAGGTATGTGCTATTAGACCTGGCTGACCCCTAAAAATTGTACATATTTTCCTCAACATCTTTTTTTTTTTTTTAAGCACTAGGGATTGAACCCACAGGTACTGGAATGCACTGAGCCACATCTCCAGCCCTTTTGTGTATTTTATTAAAAGACAGGATCTCACTGAGTTGCTTAAGGCCTCACTAAATTGCTGAGACTGGCTTTGAACTCACGAATGTCCTGCTTCAGCCTCCCAAGCAGCTGCGATTTCAGGCGTGGGGATTATAGACATGCGCCACTATGCCCAGCTCCTCAATATGTCTTGTCTTTTCTCATCTCTTTCCCTTCCCCTCTCCCCTGTGCCTGTTTTGCAGTGCTGGGGACTGAACCCAGGGTCTTATGTGTGCCGGGTAAGCACTCTACCAGTAAGCTATGTAGCCAGCCCAACCTTTCTTTTCTTAAAGCAAAGGAAAATAAATTTATGACAACACATACTACAAGATTCTCCAGCCTTGTACATGCTTCCTTCTGCTCTTTGAGCCTAATAAAATATTAATAGTTAACTTGTAGTCTTCTCCTTTCATTACCAAGGGGTTTTAACAAATACCCAAGTAATAAAGATGAGACCACAACAAACAAGAACCCCATACAACAGGACCTACCACTAATAAGCATAAGAACAAGAATCCTAATATCCTAATTTATGCTGTACTGAAAATATTGTTCCTTACACTAAAAAAAGTAAAGCATTCTGACCTTAAATTAGAAGTGGAAAAGGCCAGCCCTGTGATCCATGCTGGTAATCTCAGCTACTCAGAAGGCTGAGGCAGGAGGATGGAAAGTTTGAGACCAGTCTTGGCAACTCAGTGAGACCCTGTCTCAAAATAAAAAATGGCCTGGGATATAACTCAGTGGTAGAGTGCCCTGGATTTATTTCCAATTACCATCAAAAAATAAAAATGGAAAAGAAGTTGGATGATATATATTTTTTTGTTATTCCTGGTCAATTGCTTTATATTCCATTCTGATGTCATTAATATAATTAATAATAATAATAATAATGTGCTTTATAATATATACATATTGTTTTATTTTAGTCAGGATACCTGAAGGATTAAGGATTCTTCTTTGTTTCTCCAGGGGCCAATTAATGTTAATTATTCAATAAATGTTGCTAAATTATAAACAGAACTATAGCCTACCCAAACTCAGTGCTGAATATCAAACAGAAAAGGTACTACTTGGTGGATACCATTCTTTAACCTTCACTGAGACAAAAGTGAATCAATGCCACTTAGTAGCTCTATARCTATAAGATAATACTGCTGAATTCCTAACAGTACTATAAGAATAGATCAAGTTTCCCTATTCCTTAATAAGAAATGCTGCCAGGCTGCTCAGAAATTCCCCTTCTGAGTCCCAAAGCTGTTCCAGGAACATGAGAAACCAAGTATGCTGCAATCATGGCCTTTCTGGTACTGTGTCCAAAATAAACTATCTGAGCAAAGACTGTGAATGAAATATTATCCAATGGGGGTATGGGGGGCAGACAGTCAATGAARTTCAAAAATTTCATTTAAAAATATAGTTACAATGGGATATGATCAAGTACAATGACAGTTTCCAATCTGTTTAATAAAACACCAAGTAGAAAGCCTCTAGTCACATAATTACACAACATAATTACACAACACACTTAGATCAGGGTTAATGATGTGCATGGAAAGAACAGGCCTAAGGGTGGGTTCACCGGCAATAGACCTAGGTATTGTGAGTAAAGGATAAGAAATAAGATCAGAATTCTTTACTTTAGAATCTGCAGGGGTAAAGGGGACACATATAGATAATACTGCTAACAAAAACTTCTACCCAGGGCTGGGGTTGTGGCTCAGAGGCAGAGTGCTAACCTAGTATTCTGAGGCACTGGGTTCGATCCTCAGCACCACATAAAAATAAAATGAAGATATTGTGTCCACCTATAACTAAAAAATAAATATTAAAAAAACCCTCCTACCTGTAAAGTTCTATTCCAAGCACTGTATTAAATAATTTCATTCTCATCAACAACCCGATATTAATATCATCAATTTCCATTTTAAGTATGTAGAACAAAAACACAGCTGGGCATGGTGGCACACACTTGTAATCCCAGCCACTAAGGAGGCTGAGGCAGGAGGATTGGGAGTTTGAGGCCACCTCAGCAATTTAGCAAGGCCCTAAGCAACTTAGTGAGACCCTGTATAAAAATTTAAAACTTGTTTAAAAGAGGTCTGGGGATGTGACTCAGTGGTTAAGCACCCCTGGATTTAATCCCCGGTACCAAAAAGAAAGAAACAAAAAGGAGGCTAAGCAATTTGTGCAAGGGTTTACATAGTCATGAACTGAAGCAAACTGGCCAAGCTACAGATGCCACAGAAATCAAGGTAAACATAACTTCCCCTGGTTTCACCAACATTCACTAAGATTATGACCTACCGAATTTATAGAAACCCATCTCCTCCTTCCATATGTGTGCTTTTGCTTTCCACTTCTAACAGATGTCACATTCTTTCACCCACAATACTCCTCCGAAAACAATGTATAATAAGAGAATTTCATCTTACAAACAGTCCTAGAACCAAGCTACACACAAACATGAACAGCCTGCACAGGCCCTTCTCGGGGAAGGCGTTCCAGGGGTGCCAGCTGGACTCGTTAATAGAGTTTTTGCTGCAGCGGAAGCCCCAGACAGCTGACCGGGCCCCAGTGCCCCGCGAACAAGGCAGCGGCGGCGGCGGCGGGAGACCTTCCCCTGAGCACATCGGCCTCTCCGGCGCGTTACAGCGGGTCAGCGCACCCTCCACCAGGGGTCACGGTGCGCAGTCAGGTCCAGCCCAGGTATGGGCCATTTGTCCTAGGTCACGGCGCGCAAGGGTCGAGGGCCCCAAGCCCTCCGGCGTTCGCTTCCCACCCCGCCCGCCCTCTTCTCGGTCTCCCTTCGAATAATGCGGTTCCATCCGCTCCTCGGTCACTGCGCCGGGCGCCTCAGGCCCTCCCTCCCGCACCTCCCTTCGCGGTCCCGCACAAAGGCCCCTGAGCCTTCCCCAGCTGGCCCTCGAGGAGTCACACCCCCCTCCCCGCCTGCGGAKAGCCGGGTCCCGTGACCCCTGACCTTGCCTACCCCTAGCCTTACCCGTTCTTCCACCACCTGACACGCCGCCCCAGCACCGGCGGCTCCATATCCCGGGAGCCACAGCCAAGAAGGCCAACCCCCTGCCCTCCTGCGATTGGCCGATAGGACGGCAGCTGCATATTCCCATTGGCCGGATTTCGGMGGCTGCCAGTGCGCGTGGCAAGCGGAGCAAGAACAGAGGCTCCGCCCACACCGAGCCGGGGCTGGGGGCGTGGYGGGAGAGGCTGGGTCAGGGGCGGAACCGGGGTGGGACGGGCTTGAAGCTGCCTGGTAGAAGCTGAATTCTGCGGAGCCACTGCTGACAGCTACCCAGATTCACGTCGAGGGGTGAACTTGTGATCTCTCAGCCCGAGGGAAGCCTGAGGTCAGATAAAATTCCTGCCCTCTCCGGGSGCGGGGGTGCATGCCTATAATCCCAGAGACTCTAGAAGCTGAGGCAGGAGGATCACCAGTTTGAGGCCAGCCTCGACAACTTGGCGAGACCCTGTCTCATAATAAAAATGGGCTGGGAAGGTAGCTCAGTGGTAGAGCGCTTGCCTAGCAAGCCGATAGTCCTGGCATCAATCCCCAGTACCACAAAAACAACAACAACAAAAAAACCCTGCCCGATTTCCCCCACCGTCTCACATTAGGTACTGACAAGCCCCTTTCTCCCGGAGACCTGACTCTACCAGGTCTATAACAAGGTATAGCCCACCGGCAGGACCATTTCCAGAGCCGTATCCTTTTATCAACTGCTCCACCAAGAGCACTGCACACCTGGGAGGAACCATGAAACTCGGCCAGTGCAGCCAGTTCCACTACTCTACGTGTCCTACTCACAAGCCTCAACGTGGTTTTCCTGCATTCCATATATCTCTGCCTCGCTTCACCCCACACTTTATCCTTACCTACTCCAAAGCAATCCCACTCCATCCCCAGCCTCTCAACCTCACAGCCCAGCGTCTTTCACTGAAGATGATTGCCCCAACTGGTGAAAAGGAGAGAATAAATGGCCTGGCCGGACAGATCATCCTGATTTTCTACAATGTCTTCAGAGCTAGCAAAAACATCCTTAAACTGCCCTACCATTTACAGCATCAAAGATAACCAAGTTTCTTTCTTCATGTAAAAACTGCTAGAAGAAAACTTAAATTATTGGTCAAAGAGCCCAACATATGAGGAAAGGGATGTGAACTGCAAAAAGAAAAACTCAAAAGTGCAAAATGGAAAACCTCAGGAACAAAGAAAAAAAGTAGTGTGCCAAACATCATGTGCTTCCGGGCACAGGCTGGTATCCATACAGAATTTCTCCTGGAGAAAGAGAAAATACACAAATTAGTTCAGAGAATCTCTCCACAGCGAATCTGTGGAATTTGAGAAATGCCTGATAGACTGACTCCCTCCGGATCAGAATCTCTCCTTTGGGAACCTCAGCTGCATCTAGAATATTAAAGGACCAGAGCTTTTCTTGTCACCCTTCCCTGGCTGCTCAGCTGGGCAGCTTCCCTGGGCTGCTGCAGACTTGCTGGCTACTTACTTAGCTCACAGGCTGGAGCTGCCTCCTTAGGCTGCTGCTTCCCCATGGTGCAGAACTGGTTTGGCTTTTCCCAGAGCCGCCCTGCTTCTATATATGCAAACAAGTGCGCCTCCCTTAGATACTAAGGACACTTGAGGCTGCTCTAGGCAATGCAGCATTGGTAAAGACTGGCAGGGAATTTCAAGAGACAAACCACACCCTACAAAGAATAATCTAATTTCATCTTTGACCTGCCATGAAAAGAGAAGCATTGTATATCTGCCACTCCTGGATATTAACTAACAATTAATTGAGTTTAAAACTTTCCTTCTAAGAGTTTGTTTCTGTGCCATTGGGCTGGAGCAAGTGCTGGAGGCGGRCCTATGGGTACAAGTATATGAAAGGGGTAGGGAGAGCGGAAACACTTTCCTTCAGGATGCGGCTCTCCTTGAAGTGAAGCTGGTCAAGGTACTTGGACCATGGCTGCTTGTGCACTAGTACTGTGTTCCTCTGGCCAATTAACCCAAAAGCCTGAGAGTCCACATGTATTTCCAACATAGTACGTGCAGTACTAATGCAATTAGGAATAGTCTCAAAGTATAGATGAAAAGGCCACCGGTCTGTCCTTTGAGATTTGAAGAAGCCGATGGCATCAGCCTGCTAAATCAATGATCTAGGGGCAGAAAACAAAGAGAGGCAAACCTAGAAGTAGGTAGGAAAAGAAAAAGAAAGGAAAAACACTGAGACTACAAAAAAGAAATCCAGGTTAACAAAAGAATTTCTCAATCTGGGAGGAAGGGCTCAGAAAGAATGGGGAAACATGCCTCAGAGAAATTACTTACAGGACAAAGCTGGAAGGGATAAGTATTAAAGTGAGGTGAATTGCTGCTTATAGTTTCCTGGAGTGTTCTAATAGTTTTAAAGAAAATCTGCTTAATACAAAAAACTAATAATAATAATAATGATGATGATGCCTTAGAATGAAAAAGAAATTAAAGCAGTAATCAATTCAAATTAGTCAAGGTAGGTTTCCAGCAAGTTGTTCTGCTTCCTATCATGTCAGTAGAAGGAACTATGGATCTTCTGCTCAGGACTCCAGATGACAGTCTCTTTGCCTGGGGGCTTCCTCAAGCACTGAAAGTTTTATCATTACAACTTGATCCCTCTCCTGTTCTTGTTCCTTATCAGACAAGTTCCCTAAGGCAAGAGGCCCCTGAAGATTGGACTAGGGACAATTTGCCCCTCTTCAGTTTATAAATTGTAAAAGTAGGAATGGGACTGGAGATGTACTTTGGTGTTATAGTGCTTGTCTAGCATGTGCAAAGCGCCGGGTTCAATTCCTAACACCACACACACATAAAAAATAATAATAATTTCAAAAATAAGAATGGATTTTACAATGAGACTCTATCATAGCCCCACGGTTGTAATATATACTCTACTCTTGCTCTGTTCACCTCATCCCCCATACTCAGTTACTGACAGTATTAACTGACTTCTTTTTATATATAAATACTGTATTTAACACTTCAGAAATAGTCATAATCCTCACAATAAACTCATGAGAAAGGAACTATTATATTTGTTTTGCAAATGAAACAGTCAGAGGCATGGGGGGGTTATGTAATTAATTTTCCTAAAGATACAAATATTGTAGCCCAAACAAAGCCAGCAAATCTAGCAGCTAGCACTCCACTAACACATGGGCCCACCTCCCTCTTGTACAGTTAAAACAATTCCCTTTCATGCAAATCCAGCTCTTTAGTAAAAATCATATTAATGTAAATGTAAATTCACTAAACATGCCACATGACACCTGTAGCAACTCATATCTGCACAGCTGTTAATAGGTATGGGTATCAGGTATTAACATGTATCTTCATCATAGGTACCTTGTATTTAAATAAGAGGCTATTCCCTCCATCCCCTCTTCCCACCCACTCTCCAAGCATTCTCTTTCAGGTATTGTTTTCTCTCAAACAACTGCCATAAATTAACTCCTCCCACTCCTCTCCTGGAAAACTCCCAAACATTCTGTAAGATTCCCTTAAAGTACCCAGCAGAGTCTTCATTCCCTTACTCCTCCAGGCAACATTAATTCATCCTACATTCTGTCTGCTGCCCAAGCACAAACCCATTCTGTATATATTTACTGAGAACCTACTGTGTATCCAGCACAGGCTAGGGGCTGCAGATATAAACACAAATAAGATAAGCACAGATCTATTGTTTTTTCTGCTTTCTTTTACCACTTAATAGTGAATTTCTCAATAGAGGAGAATATCTTTTTATTTGTATACTTGGTGTTACCAATCCAGGTATCTGGTGGTTGTCCCCCAAAATGTATTATCTCATTTTTTTTTTTTTGCATGTTAGGACAGTAAGGCAATAAAGTRTGATAATTAGGACATTTCTATCTAGGTACTTTTTCCCAAAGTTGTATCTTATCTTTGCCAAAAATATTCCTCTCTGACTCTGGGGAAGTTAAGCAATTCCTGAGATAAACAATGGAATGCACTGCCCAGGTCCCCTCTGAGGATGCAGGACCTGTTTACACCAGCTGTTTGGAGTAGGAGTTCTACTGGCACATGGCCCTGGGCTCCATTCCCAGGCAGCCCTCATCCAGTGACTGATGTATGTGGGAGGATAAGATTCATCCCTCAAACATCCCTCAACCTTCAGAGATCCCTCTGAAGGTTGGYTGAGCCTTTGTTGTGCATCATGGCTCAACTTCCCCTGCCTAGTCTTGCTTCCTTCCCTGCACTCAGTATTGATCCCAAGATCACTTCCCAATAAACTTCCTGCCTGTCTCAGCATTAGCTTCCCTTCTTACTTGAGATAACCTGAAATCAAAGTTGCTAGAAAGTGATCTGTACTCACTCTATCTCCTCACCACCCATTTACTTCTCTACTTTTTGTGGTGCATTCTGGAAATTACTTTGTCATTGGCTAAATTGTGATCATCACTGGCCATGGACAGTGAGAGCCAACTCTTCCCCTGTCTCCATATTTGAAATGCTGAAGGACTCCTCTTACAACTCTCTGGCTTCCCTCTTATTGTGCTGTCTGGGTAGTTCTCTTCTTTGAATTGTTCCTCTTTGGCCTTCATTTGCTATTTTTCTTCCTCCTCCTCCTTAAATGTAGGCATTCCTTTGCTTCAACCCTTAGCTCTCTTCTAATTCTTCACAATCTCTCTGCAGTTTCGTGTAATAAACACTGGGGAGCCACCCAGCATTAGAGGCAGGATGGATCAGTGGCAAGAACAACCTCTTAATGTAAAATTGACCTGAATTACAGGTCAAGCCAGCTGGGAAAGTGGGCAAGCTATTCAATCCTTGTGTTTCATTTCTTCATCTAGAGTGAGTATGACAACAGAATCATGAGGATGTCATTAGGTCCCCAAAAGCAACAATGTCCTTTCTTGCCTCCTATCTTGGGCCTACCACTCTACCATTAAACTATATCCCCAGTCCTTCTAAAATTCTATTTTGAGTCAAGGTCCCATTAAATTGCTGAGGGTCTTGCTAAATCGCAAAGCTGGCCTCAGACTTGCAATCTTCCTGCCTCAGCCTCCCAAGCTGCTGGGATTACAGACATGT